CCTCTTTACTTGCGGCTAAAAGAAACTAGGGTAGCAATGCTTAAAATCAGAAGCTTTTTAGAGGGTTTTTGGCAGAGGATTAAAGTGTCCTTGAACAAACTTGAGCAAACTTCCTGTGTACTGAACAGCAAGCTAATTAAAAAGTTGGTGTGTGAAACACTTCACACACAGGGAAGGTAGCCAGAGCCCTTGTAGGGGAAGGCTTTTTAAGGGGATTGAAGAATGCGGAGGAGACGCGGTAGCATAGTGAACGATGTTATTCCAGGAGAAAGTCACCTTATTAAGCAGCAATGAATGTGATTCTTCCTCTAGATAAACTGACTATGGCACAGCCCTGATTAATTGACCACAGGTTCAAGTGCAGCATATTGTGTATCTGCCCTATGTCATCCTGGAACTTTTTGTATTCCAGAAAGCTTACTAGTCCTGGCCTTTGGGGGAAGACATTACATGTTTGCCAGCATTAAAGATCTTTTACCTTTCTTAGTAAAAAAACCAGAAAATTAAGTGGCAGAGCTTTGCCGCCCACTGTTTTGCAACATATTGTCATTGGTTCACTGCATTTTGTTCACATTAATCTAGTACGATGTTTCTTGAACCTTTTATAGGAAGACCTGTATTTGAGTAGAAATTAGTTGAGGAGAACAGGGACCACGAGGAACAATGACAGGAGAATGATTTTCCTGAGACAGAGTTGCAGTTTGGATGTAGAGAAAGTACTTTTGATGAGCCAGATGACTTCTGCGGAGAACGCAAATTGATGCTTTTGGTATTACTGGGACCTTTTTTCCCCTCCAAAAAGGTCACCTGTTCTTATAAAGAACGAAGGGGTGAATATTGCTAGTGTCCCTGTAAGCAATGACTTAAACTTGGTTTTCCTTAGTATATTCACTGTCTTTTCATTATTCAGGTTCGGTAGTTGCTTACTAGCTTCGATTGAATTTTACAGCATTCAAGTTGTAACTATTAAAGCCGAAAGCACTTCAAAGCAGTATTTTGATGAAACTTTGTTCCTAAAATAACTTTATTAAACTCCCAATGGCCTATTTTTGGAGTCTGAGGTAGCATTTGCTGGCATGTGTGTGAAGCTGGGCTAACAGTGGTTTGGCATGACAGCTTTGGTGATAGATTTTATTTTTCATTGCTTAGTGATTTGCTTTAACTTTTGCAAGAAATGTTAGAAGAGCTTAAAAATACCTTTCTAGGACACAGCCTTAATCCCAGCTGTTTCTCATCATTTACTTAAGTGTAGAAAGAGTGCTATATAGAAGTCTTACTGTTCTGTATTTTATTTATTTTCAGGGGGAGAAGACAAATGAGCATTTGTTGTTGCTAATAATATTTCCTAAATGAAACTCATGCATGCATTTAAAAAATAAAAGAAGTGTGGTGGTGAGGTTGGAGAAATTACTATGAATATGCTTCAAGTTTTGAGATATCTTGTTAATACAAGACATTGATATGCACCCACCCCAAAAATTCCTTTGGTAATGTTGCTTTTTCAGGAAAGGAGAGAGTAATTCACATGTAAAATAAGGTGGTAAGATGTGAAAAGAATCGGAAGTCCACTTAACATCCTCTTATTCTCTAGGTGTCAAACGGAAGATAAGTAGAATGTAGAACCAAATTTTTTTTTTTTTCCTTTTCAAGGAGGGATTTACATATAGTTTATAAGAAAAACAATTACAGGCTGTGTGGTTTAGAGACTTTCTGATGAAGAAGTATCTCTGTACTCAGAAGCCATGCATAGTATGGTGTGAAATACAAATAGTATTACTTAACTTGGAACCAAGAATTTTGGCTCAAAGTTTTTTCAATCCTATTAACAAATTATCAAAACTTGAATATACGTTGCGGCCGTCTTCTCAAAAAACGGCATCTTGTAAGTTGGTTACAAGGCCACTGTTTTATTGCTGTTAGAGCCAGTCTTTGAAGTACTTTTAAGTACTGCCCTGCATAGAATGACATAAAATACAGCATTAAGAAAAAGTAGTACTCAGTTTGTTTATAATTGAGCATGCAATGTATTCTTTAGGTGACACCATTTCCAAATACTGGATTTATCAATGGGTTCACATCTCCAACCTTCAAGCCTGCTGCTTCTCCATTGACTACACTCAGACAGTATCCTCCCAGAAACAGGCAAGTTCAACAGTCTTTCAACAATATACATACTGTTTTATTATCTGGCATGGGGGGGGTTTAATCTGCTTATTTTAGTAACCCCAGCTAACTTGAAAATACTTGTGCAGTTGAACCTGGTAAAAGGTTAAGCGAGGCCAAAAGGCAGATGGTGCTCCTATTGTTTCTGGTTGTACTGTTTCTAAATGTAAATGGGCTGTCTGAAAGCTGAGAACTTGTCTCTTCCATGATTTAGGGTACTCAGATGAAATATTCTGAATGATGGCATGTGATGAGCAGGATTATTCATACGGTATTTTCAGTTTCAAGTAGTTTTTAGTAAAGCCATTGTTGAAAGTACACAGTGAAAGGGTTAATTTTGGTAATTCACATGGCCCGTTAAAATGAATGTTTATCATTCCTATAAATGAAATACACAATAAAGGACTAAAGATCTTGCTTCTTCTGAATACTGTGTATAGTCTTAGGCCTCAGAAGATCTCTCATAGGACGTATGTTGAAATGACTTTTGAATTTGTAGGAATCCTAGCAAGTCTCATATACGACATACAATACCCAGTGCAGAAAGGGGACCTGGGCTTCTAGACAGTCCTACAATATTCAACTTTTCTGCTGATCGTTTAATCAATGGCGTCAGGAGTCCACAGACGCGGCAGCCAGGACAAAACAGGACACGGATGCAGAACGCTACTACGAGTTACACCAAGAGGGAAGTAGGAACTGGACGGATGGAACAAAGCAGCGTTGACTCCTCTCCTGGATTAGGTCGAGGAAGGTGAGTGTACTCTGTAGTTGTCCTCTGAACAACCTGGTATTGCTGCTTGTAAACTACTTCTTTCATAAAAGAGGTATGGTACTAGTACTGTTCTCGTTACTGTTTTAAACTGAGACTGTCTCTCCTCAAAGCTAAAATCTTGGAAAGTGCTTCAGAGAAAGTGCTAAATATAGAACTAATGCAAAGTGGACTTGCATCCTTCCCTACCAAATGAAAATCATTGATGGCAACTGATGAACAATTTACAGCTGTAAGAGCTAATCCTCTATCCTTTCTTCATCTGTTGTAAGACAGTTTTTTTGCATATTATTTGTTAACGAAGCAGTTCTGTCCATTCCATTGTTCAGCGGTGTAGATTGTGCACCTGAACCTGTACTAGCAGTGCTCATTTGTTAATTTTTTCAGTTGAAAGACCAGAATTTTGCCCAAATTAGACATTTACAACAACAAAGATGATGGATTGGCATGGAGGGAGGAAAAAGGATTACTTGCAACTAAAACTATAGTTATGCAGTTAAAAAAACCCCACCACAACCTCAACCAAAAACCAAACAACAACAAAGAACTACCTGGGGAGCTGAAAACTGGTGGCACCAATATTGATGTGAGAATTTAACGGTCTTATTTTGGAAGTTTTAAAATACAGTACAGTTCTAGTAAGTGCATTATAAAGTACTGTGCTGCTTTGTTTAATGATGGCTGTGTTTGTGTCTCCAAGTAAATCACATTTTGAGTGACTTACTGAATTGGAAGATAACTCGAGTCTTTTATAGATGATCGTATATTAGACTTGTATTGTATCATTGCATGATTAAGTGGGGATTTTGTGCAAGAATTTTAATACTTCTCTAAATGCAATTTGCCAAAGTGTGTTCTAGCTAGCGGATGAAAGTATGATTAAGGAAATAGGAAACAAGATTGTTCAAACTAGACTACAAAAATGTACAGGAATAGTCAGTACTTAGATTTATATTCTGATGTTTTGGTATTCAATGCATTGAAAATATTAAAAGTCAAACAGAAAACTTAAATATATTTGAAACTGAGTTAGAAGGCATTGCAAATGTTAAACTGCTTTGGGGGGACTTTACCTGAAGCAAGGCTGGGGGAGACGTACTGAAAATGTTTTGGAGGGGCTTTACCTGAACTGAAGATAATTAGCCATATTACAAAAGTTACACAGGTATCAAAAAAACCACAACAACCAAACACCTAAAACCTTTACTTTGGATATTGAAGGGTTTTGTTTAAGCCTTATATGTAATCAGCACTGAGAGGTGCTTTTAACGCAGGAATTATTTGTAGCCATTGTATTCTTATGCTGACTTCTTATATAAGATCTGTACCTTTATTTTAATGAGAGCTTGCTAGAAATTTTTCATTGAAATAATTTTTTAATAACCTGTCTAGAATGAAGAGGGAGGAAATAGTAATTTGAATTCATTTCTCCTGTTTTCACCAACTGCCTTCCATTCATTTATAGGCAAGGTTCTGATAACTGCTTTTTTTCCCTTAGGAAAAACTCATATGGCTACCGAAAGAAAAGGGAGGACAAGTTTACAGTGAGTGTTCATGATCATATTCATCTATAATAAAAGCAGGGTAACAAGGCAATAGTATGGATATTATGTGGGGTAGCAGGTGAGATAAGATATTGCGCAAGCAATTGTGTGTCACAGCTGACTAAAGACAGCAGCTCATTAGGGTCATGTGAGTTTACTGCATTTGGGTATCAGAGAAGATTGTCTGTTAATGCGGAAATCAGGAAAAAGTTAAAATTACTCTTTTATAGTACCAAAACATTTCCATATTAGTGTTACTTTGTCAGCATGGCAGTGTTCATGTTTAGGGAGCGCTGAATAGCTAAGCTAAAGTTCAAGACATTTGATACTTGATTATCGTTCATGTAGATGTTGAAGAACATTTTATAGATCCACGTGTCATAAAGTATAGCTAGAATGTTAGTTATTAAATGGTCAGTTCTGTTTCTTAAATGCCACTTGGTAAGGGTATACTAACACTATGAAAATACTAGTTTTTGGTAAACATAAATTCAAGGTGAATACCTAAATATCCTTGATACTTGAAAAGGCTGGACTAGACATTGTGTAGAAAAAAAAATATTCATATTTTGTAGGACTCAAGGTTTGATTTGATAAAACCAAACACCTCTGCAATTCATTTTTTGGTTGACTTTAGTTCTTGTCAAACTTCTCAAAGCTCCGTGAGACCAGATTACACGTAGGATTCGCAGTTCTTCTTTCTTTTGCCCTTTCAAAGCTACTTGAATTTTTAGAGGGATGTTTTCCTATCAACATTTTTTTTCTGTCTTTGAAAGAACAAGGAAATGGTATAGGTTAGGTGTGTGAGTGAGTGGCTGGAGTGAAAGGATTACCTTGGACACTCTTATTAAGCAGAGGGGCTTTTCTGACTCAGCTGACTTTAAAGGTTATTTTAACTTTGAATGTAAAACTGGTAGTCGTGACTTCTTTGGAGCCCCACCATTCTCGTCTCTCAGCAGCAGGCTTTAATTGCAGCCTGTACAGCCAGGTCCCTTCTAGTCTCTTCTGGCCCATGAATCTTTAGTCTGTACTGTCCAGTGGTGCAGCTTGAACAGAGGTGAGAGCTGCTGCACTGCCACAACTGTGGACACTGGGAAGGAGTGTGCTCTGAAGTGAATGATAAAAACTTGGCCCTTTTAGACTGTGGAAATAACTGAATCCAGAATCCTATTTCTTGTGTGATGCTGTAGTGATTAGAGGGTGTACACAGGAGATTAATACAACCAGTTGTGTTTGAATGGAGTGTTGACTTCTTTTGATTTATTTTTTTAAGGAAAAATTACAGAGAGTATGCATTTGAAGAATTGTTCTAAACAAAAAAAAAAAAAAAGGTTGTTCCTCTTGCAGTTTGAGCTGGATAAGTGTAGTCTCTCGCTGTGACCCCTTGACAGGTCATCTGACTTCTATTTTTGGAAGTTTGCAGCCTCTATTGCTGTAGCGCTCTTAAACTGTGTTCTGGGGGTCATGCTGGGTCAGGAGCAGTCCTGGGAGTTG